TGCAGACCAGCTGGTACTTGAACCCTGGCTTGTTCAGGATCATCTCCAGCTGCCGGCAGTTAAAGTTGGACACCAGATGGACTTGGCCAATCCTGCGTCCTTACACTTTTCCATGGCCTTGGGGCAAAAAGACTGTGAAGAATAATCTGTGCAGTTGCTTAGATATTGATGTATATGCAAGATAGTACTGTTAATTCATAGGAAAATGGATACATATTGAAGATACACTCCTAAGTGAAATAAACAAGTCACACACATGTAAATAGCGAATAGTTTCTCTGGTGTGAATAAAATGCAGTAATACATAAGATCCTAATAAGATTACTGACATTGTGAAATGGGAAGAAAGGAGCTAAAGGTGTAGGGAAGGTGAGATGGGTGGGGGAAGGGTAATAAGGGAAAAGAAAAAACGTGAGATAATGAAAAGATGGAAATAAAGTGCTTATAGATGGGGAGGGGAGGAGGGGGTGAAAGGAGGGCAGGGACAAGGGGAAAAAATGAGAACCAAGACCTGACATGTAGAGGTACAAGATCCCAACAATGAATGTATCCCTACAATGTACCAATAAACTCAATTAAAGCTGAAAAAAAAGGAACACTGTCAAATGAAAATTTAGATGACTGCAATTGATGCTAAGTTAATAAAAAAGAGTGGCAGAATATAGTAACACATGAAAAAAACTATGTTCTTCTTCTGAAATCAGAGAGCCTATTTTATATGGAGGAAAAGAGATGACGCTTTGTTTTCCTTGACTCATCCCTAGCTCTCTGTGTATTGTATTCTAATAATGCATTGCTGTCTATTACAGCACCAAAACACTCCTTAAAAAGGTCATGGATTTCTAGATCCAAGAGTGCATATCTCATTCCCACAGGTAGAGCTGTGATTTGACTGTCTAGGTCACCCCATCTCTCTTTCTCTCTCTCCTTTGTGCTCTCTATTCCAAATACTCACCTCCCAGGTGGCAAGGAGATCCTCTGTGTCAGGTATTAGTTTTCCGTGTTTGTCTGTTGGAAGTAACTTCTCCCCTGGCTGGAATAAGAGCAGTCATTAAATCATCTCATGAAATTCATCTCCCCACCCATATCTATGCTCTCTGATTAATCCAGACCTCTGTAAAATAGGTGGAGCAGTATTTCACAGGCTTATATTTTCAAAATGTTTCCCTTGTGGTGTTGTTAGGAATGTTTTAGGTGACACAATTTATCTGTTCTTATACATCGATAAATATGTTAACTTATAACATAAAGAACCTGTTCTCAGGTCCTTTTGTATGTCTTAGTTGACTTATTGTTTATCATACCTCTCCATTCCCATGGATAAATGGTCCACTTTATATGAAATAGTCAGTAGTTGCATGGTCATAATCTCAAGCAATAATAGATTCTAGTTTTAACGCAGGCTAAAGGAACAATCTTCCTCTTCCTGAGCATGTGAATGGTCAAAGGTCAGACATATGGCCATAGACCACTGAGGTCATGTCTTGTCTTTGCTGTCTTTCCTTTCCTCTCCCTCACACTTTTTCCTTCCCTTCTTGTCCCTTCCTTCCCCTTCCCTTCCCTTTTCCTTTTCTTTCTTTTTTTTTCATCATGAGAAGTATAAACTAAGCAAAAAGGAAACACAGAATCAGGAAAGGAGTTAGGACACTAGAATGGGAGTAACTCTTCAGAATAATTTTGCTCCAAAATCAAAGAAGGAAATTTCCATCAGCGAAAATGCAATAGCCCACAGCCATGGATTCTGGAAATACAGAAATTAGTGCTAGGTGATACATGTGAGCCCTTTCTAAGAGAGGCAAGGGGAGTAACCTCAAATCCCAGGACCCAACCAATAAGCATTGCTCATGACTTCTTTAAGGATGAGTTCTTTTCAACGTATGGTTTCAGATTACTGCGGGCTCTTTTTGTTAAGGCATACGGATGAGTCGGTATTGTTCTGACTGCAGCCAATACCTCTTCAGATGAAATAACTTGTCACTTAAAGTTTTAGTGATCTGCATTTAAGTGTATGTGTGTGTGTGTGTGTGTGTGTGTCTGTGTGTGTGTGTGTCTTTTCTATTCCCTAAGCCAGTATGTTAAAGGTCATAAAAGATAATCATGGGAAAGAAATTTAGTAATTTAGCCACCATGTGTTTTAGGTATCAGTTTTAGGTGGACATCTTTGTTTTAAAAGCCTATTAAGTGTTTGTAAATGGGGAGGGGAGGAGGGGGTGAAGGGAGGGCAGGGACAAGGGGAAGAAATGAGAACCAAGACCTGTCCTGTAAAGGTACAGGATCCCGATAATGAATGTAATTGTACTGTATACCTAAAATGTACCCATAAACTCAATGAAAAAAAAAAGCCTCTTAATGAAGGCTATTCCAAGAAGAGTCAATAGCTGGAACTTCCTTATCCTATTAATAAAATGTGTCTCACAGTCAGACACTAGTAAGGCTTGTTGGCTTCTCTGCAGTGAGTGAGCTGCCACTGCCTAGATCGGGATTTTAGAAATGTAGTTTTTTAAATATCATTTTTCTGCCCCAGTTGTTCAATCCCCAGTACCAAAAAAATAAAAAAAAAAA